GGGGTGGCCGGGGCCGGTTGGTCCCGGTCCGGGACTCGGACCCGGGGTAAGCTGCGGGCCGGGCGCAGCCCAAGGGAGGGAGGCTTCGAATGAGGGGACGGCTATTTTGAGTGCCTCACTGGGGTCGGGCGCTGCAAAATCTCCCGTAAACTGTTAGGAGATTAGTCAGGAAATTTGGTGAGGTGACGGAGGACGTGTCTGGTTTACGCACTGCCGGTCTCTGAAATCTAAATTCATGATACTATGGCTTAATTTAGTGAAGGCGAGCAGTCGTCCAAAGGTGGATGTCTGTCACGTTTCTGGTGAGCTTCGTGCATGCGTGTTCACACGCATACAGCAGTTAGACAGAGAATGGACTTCACAAGTGTCATTTCGGAGCAGTAACATCTGGATCATGACCAGACCCCACATGCGGTTCTTCCTTGTGGATCAAGACAAACGCGCATCTCAAGACCTCTTCCACAAACGAGGCCCGATTCTATAGCACAGTAAAAAAAAAATTCTGCACGTGAGAGGGAATGATGGCTTTTGTTACTTCAAAAATACACAAACACTTGGAGGATGAAGTAAAGCATAATTCCTTCCACCCTCAGCATTCAAAACCTTTCTCGTTCAGAGTGATACGTATCCTGGTTAAACCTTACAATACTAGAAAGAAAAGTCCGTGTTTTTGAATCATTGCCTGAAGTATAAAAGCATTCAAAAGTTGTCATAAATTACTTAGACTTCATAAAACTCCAGGATCTCCTACATTTTCAAGTGACCGATATCCTGAAAGTCTGTACACCACTGTGTTTATCACAATTCCCATAAATAGCTTTTATGAAGAGTTTAGTGACATTTTATTCTATTTGTTAGCATGCTTTAAGACTTCCTAGTTCAGCAGAATTTAGAAGTACGCTATTTGTCACTGTCTGCAAATTTCAGCAGGTACTTTCATGGTATCTTCACATTAGTGGTCATAAGAATCAGTCACGGAAAGAGTCTTTCTTTTACAACAGAGTGGAAATAGACTGAACTTATCTGCGAAAGCAAAGCTTGTGCTTTAGCATTAAAAGGGTTCTAGAACTGAGGTACTTAAAAGTTCCTCTGCGATA